AAAAAAATCGAAGTTTTGAAAATTTTCGATTCATAATAGTTCATTCCATGCGTTTAAATATATTGAGTGTGCCCTGTAAATTTCAAGTAATTCGGTACAGCCGATTCTGAGATACAATGGAGGAAAGTTTGAAAAACACAGTTTTGAGAAAACGCGTTTTTAGGTTTCAAGTCCGTTAAAACTATTCGAACCCGCTCTTTCTTTTACTTGCTGTATCTTTAAAAAACGACTTCGATTTCTAAAATCGCTTTACTACCGTATTCTAGACATGTTAAGGGAGCAATTATGAAAAAAAATCGATTTTTTTCAACCCATCACATAGGAAGGCCCCTTAAAATAACCAATGCTATTTAAGGATACAATGAAAATTATTATATTTACGTATTAGTTTTAATATTGTTTTTAAAAATCAGGGACACAAGGTGGAAATCCGCGACTGTCCTGGCCAAACCGGGACGTATGGTCAACAATAATAAGTGATATTGGATTTTAAATAGAATAACTATATTAATTAAAATCAATTCTGTAAGTTAAATTATGTTGACTCAACATAATTTACCTTACAGAAACTTGATTTTTATTAAGTATAGTTATTCCCTTAAAAATCCAATATCACTTATTATTTACTTAAATATTTAATCACATTATATATAAGGTTGTTCGGAAAGTCACTTCGATTTTTTTTCCACCAGAATTTAACTATATTTTTTTGAACCAAACATTGCACTTAAGCCTATAATTATTATTGATTTGAAAAATTATATTTATTTATATTTAAAGCTTGTGTCTAAAAACATCTAATCAATCACATGCAGTAGATTTGGATGATGCCACTTTAAATACGAAATAATTAAGCGGCATTTTCGACATATTTTACTCTTTTAATATAAAAAGATAAAATTTGTTTAAATAATCAAAATGAAATTAACCGATTTGCACGGAAATGTCGTGTTGATAGAAGCAGTGTCAAAATTGGTATGCTCAATTTTATTCCTGGTATTTGATATCCAAGATGTACCACACCAAGAAGTACGGTTGAAACTGATAAAGATGCGAGAAAGGCGTTGATGCCAAACCGGCGAATAACAATACATGAGGATCCTATTGAGTTAAAATTTATCAAATTTAACGGTTTATGACTACTCAAAATATTTATGGTTCTCATAGAAAGAAATGTGTGTCCACGATTTTTATTAATTGGCGTCCACGATTCGCCTCTGAAAGGTCCTGAAAATTATCAGGTCTTGAAGTGAATTGTTACTAGGTATGTCTAATGGGATGTAAAGAATACAGTACACGCCCATGCCCAATTGCCCATGAAACAAAAAATAAGAACCTACTCAAAACAGGTGCAAAGCTTAAATTTGTCAGAAAAAGGTGATGCAGTATGTTTGGTAAGATTTTAAAAAGTTGTTCATTTTTCTGCTTTTCCCGGATAACAGAACGGTTAATTCGGATGCCTTATGTCATCAGCTGAATAAAAGATTTCAATAGAAAAAGTCAGAACTAACCGACAAGGAAGGTTAAAATCTTGCATCAAAAATACGCATGGCCTCACATAAGTTTCGTCGGTCTCCATCAATAGCTTTTGTAGCGTGAATGGAACCCAATGACACATTTATCGTATTCTCCAAACCTACCATCATCGGATCATTATTTGTTCCGGCCACTAAAAAATTTTTAGGCAATAAACCTGTACCGTAAATCAGCATGTCACAAAGCACTTTAATCAGTTTTTTGCCAATAACGACCAAAAAATTTATGATCTCGGAATTATGCTAATACCAGAAATATGACAAAATATGTTCGAAAATACGTGCCAAAATGCCTATAAAAAACGAAGTTACTTTCCGAACAATCCAATATAATTTCGGCGTGGACGTTAGACGAAACATATAAAAGTTCATACAACTTTTCTTAATGTAATGCCCGCTCACCAGATCAACCGAAAAATATACCTACATATATTATTTACTTTCTAATTTACTCTTATTTCTGGAGACTTATATTTTTGACCTACCTGAATATCACCAGGATATAACCATTTTTTAACTGGGCTGTCCGGTGCGGTGTTACTGTAACTTTCATCAGAACTGCTTGAACTAGTTGATGTTGCAGACTGCATGTGAGAACTTAATTCATCAACGGATGATCCACGAGTATCTAGCATTGAAGATGGTTCTTCACTTCGACGGATATGGTAAGAAGAAACTAACAAAAAAATTAATTATTAATAAATTATATTATTATAATATTTTACATCATTGTTAGTTACTATGTAATTATAAATATTGTTCGTCCATAATATTATTGAAAATATTACTTGTTTTATGGATCGGATTTCATAAGCAGCTAATTCTTAAGTAAGATAAAAATCTTACTTAAGAACTTCAAATAGAAAATTGTCTTAACATGAAGACTAAATGTTAAGATAAAAACTATAAGTTTAACATCTAATAGTTTTACACATTAAAATATAATATTCAACTAGGTGTGAGTAACATTTTGTCTTGGACTAGTTTAACACAAAAAATAGCATCTACTTATGAAGAAAAGGCCTCAAAAATCTTTACCTAAAACTAAAGTAATCAAACCGAATCGTTTTTTAAATCAGTTCAGGAATTCTGCAGTTTTCTCTCTAAAAACTCTAAAGAAACGGCTCGGCAAATCGTTTCTCAAAACTATCCGTCCTTAATGAGTTTCATCGATTGGCCTTTAATTTTTTTAAATTGGTTCAGCCACTTTTGAAAAAACTTTGACGAAAAGTCAAAATTTGGTTCACACACACACTTTTTCTAATTCGAGTTTCAAATGATTCAGAATGATATCCAGAAAACAAAATTAGTAAGTCAGATTTTTTGGCAAAAACATAAACTTCTCGTGTGGGAAGTTAATAAAGTAAACTAAACACATGTAAAACTAGTTGGTATTGGTATTTTGCCTTGAAGCAATTTACATGAACTTCCGGATTTGTGTAAATAATCAACTTAATCAATAAAAAATAAATTAATTTTTTTATTTATGAGTGATTAAAAGTATTCCGAGTAGATTTATTACACATAATTGAACGTGAACAAACACGTTAACTCGGAGTATTTTCTAAAAGGAAATTTTCACAAATCAATAATTTTTATAATTGAACCAATTTCCGTAGGACTTTAATCGTTTAGTATGTTCATTAAGATCAAGTATTCTATCGTTATACCAAGTAAACCGTCTAATTTTAATTTTAACAAACATCAAAAAAAAAATACTCATTTTCTGAAACTTTGATTAATTTTTAAAATTTAAAACTACTTGTCGTAAGGTCGTAATATTTCAGTAAGTTCTATAAGACCATGATATATATCGCCAAAAACAGTTACGTAAAAATCGGCTTAATTTTTTTTTCAACAGTTAATTACAAGAAAACGGCTCGGTAGATTTTCACCTAAAATTAATCAGTATCATTCCCAACTAATATCTTCCACCCAGTTTTTGATTTTTTTAAATCGATTTGGTAGTATGAGCTTAAATGTGGACGAAAAGTTTTTTCCAAAGAACACTTTTTTCCAAATTACAAAAAAACGGCTCGACCGATCGCTGTACGGAACTGAGAAAAGATAATCCACATCAAAATATATCGATTGGCTTTGAAATTTTTGAAATCGGTCCAGACGTTTTTAAAAAAACGTCGATTTACGGCAAAAAATCTGTTCACATACAAACACACACACACACTTTTTCCAAAATTGATCTCATTCGATTCAGAATGGCTTGAAACGTCGAGAAAACATAAAAATAGCAAATGGGATTTTTTTATGAAAACAAACTTCTCTTTTTTAATTTAATGTCAAAAATAGAAAAAAAAAACGAAAGAAGGAAATATAATACTTGCCATGATCAGGTAGTGGAGGCTTAGGAAGTGGTTTAAGAAATGGCTCCATTTGCGAATGGTTTAAACTACTTTGTACTTGTTGATTTGTTTGGTCGAATATAGTGTGTGTAGAAGGCTCTGGGTGATACACATGTTGGCAGTTCTTTTGCATAGGTAGAACCTAATGGAAAAATGAATATAGTAATATTTTTTAACTTAAATTATATATTATATCAACATCAAATTTAAGATTTTATATATATATATATATATATATATATATACGAGGTCTGTTCAAAAAGTACCCGGAATTTTCGTTTTTTCAAAAAAATATTTATTTATTCGTCTACATTAATGTGGTCCCCTTCAAAGTAGTCCCCCCCAGATATAATACACTTATGCCAGCGTTTTTTCCAATTTTCGAAGCACCCTTGATATTCACTTTTTGATATGTCCTTGAGCACTCTCAGCGATTTTCTTCAATCGAGGAAAACCGCCGTCCTTTCATGGGTCTCTTCAACTTTGGGAATAGGAAAAAGTCACACGGAGCCATATCTGGTGAATTTTTGCACTTTGCAACACTTTATTTCATTTTTTACGCAAAATTTAATACAAATTCTTTGACTTTTCAATTCTTCCATTGTAAAAATCGCCGAGCTCAGAAAAACAACGTCGAACCTTAGCGACTACCACAGACAAAGTAAACAGTGAATATAGCTGAAAATTTCATCATACTTTAGGGGCATGTATACCAACACAATAAAAAAAAATTTTGACAATCAGACACTCCAGACCCGCGAAATTTAATTATTAGTAATTCCGGGTACTTTTTGAACACACCTCGTATATATATATATATATATGCCTAACATCTAAAATAATACTTGCCTTAACTATATGAGGTCCATTGTTTCCACTATAAGGTAAAAGTCTACTGCTTTCTCCCATGTTAGAATTTCCCCGATTTAACATTGAGTGCTGAACATATTTTGCAGGAACACATTGCTCATAACGATGCAGGGGTTGATTCATCATTTGATGGTTTATTATTCTACCAGGTGTCACTCTGCCATAAGTTGCACCTAAAAAATGTGGTTACAAGAATAATATAAAAATGTATAAAATGACTGTGTGCTAGTAAAAATAGTTTAGTAGTTCAGAAAAATTTTAAATACGGATACAAAGGAAACTAGTTGAAAGTAGCATTTTCCCTAAAGGTAAGTTGTATGAATTTCCCAATACGTACACATGATAAACTTCATCAATAAGAATTGGGATTTAGTGTGTGTTTGTGTGTGTGTATGTTTGTATCAGTTTAAGAAATTACAGAACTTCCTGACAACATGGAAAATGTTGATAAAATGCATTCAGTAATATTTTAGAAAGTTGTAAAGTAAGATATGTAACAAATATATTCAGTTTCGTTCTTTACGTACAAAATAATGTTAATCTAATGTTTAATATACCTGTGCTAAACTGATGGTCTTGCCTTTCAACAACAAGGTATGTCATTGTATCCCCCTTTCCTTTAATCTTCACCATTCCTCTACATTTGAAGTTGTAATGTGTATCTCGAATAACATGAGCTACATTTTCAGTAACCTGTGTGAGACCAGCCAAACCTGTTGAGTCCATGTGGTAGGCGATATTAACAGTTTCACCCCATATGTCATATTGAGGTTTATTAGCTCCTATCACACCTGCTATTACTGGACCAATGTTTACACCTAAGAATAATAGTTATAAGTAATAAATGTTAAATAAAAAGTCTGCTTCATATTCACCTAATAATATTAACATTTCATAAAATTATTGAAAATTATAATTACCTGCTCTTAACATAAAATTTCTATATGTAGATGTATTAAATGTGAGAAGCCGAGCATGCATAGCTTGCGTAAAATCGAGAAGAATAGTAATAAATTTTCTTATTGAATTATTATCTCCATGATTAATCTTATGTTCTGGACTCAATCCCACAGCAGCCATGTATGTGGACCCAAAACATTTGATCTTATCAATTGCTCCAAAACAATCTTCTTGCAACAGCTAAAATGATCATAAAAATTATAAGTGATAAAAGTAAATATTACATAAATAACTATTCAGAATAATACACACACACAAATATATATTTTATAACAAACCTTATCAAAATCGCATATGATTTCATTTAATTGGCGCAAACAATCAAGACCATTGGTACTGCTTTCCATATCAGTGCAGAACTCATGGTAATCTGTCACTGTTGCAAAAAGTACTCCAACATAAGCATAGCTTTCGCAATAGAGATCCTGCACAATAAATAAAATATTATAGCAAATTATCATGGAAGTTTTTATAAGCGGCTGAACTGTATTTTAAAGGCATTGTAGATGGTGTTAAAATGCAATTCATCATTATTGAATGTAAATAAAACAATTATCAAAACAAAATTTTATATTGTTTATATAATATAAACAATATTATATTGCTTTTTGGTTAAAACCGAAAAATGGGTTGAGTCCATATACATCAAACAAAATCTTACTGTGCTTCCTGGTCTTCTTTGTTTCTCTAAATAGAATTGTGTCACGTGCTGAGGTAAGAGATCATGCAATAGTCTAACACCAGACTGTTGTAAAACATTGGCCTCATGTCTTGCACGATTTGCCTCATTTTTTCTCAAGTAACACAGTCTCATAACTCTCTCTAAACATCTTCCATGAAGACCAGAAGCAACCAAAAACATCAATAATTGTACCAGACTTGAAGTATGAGCTGGAACTAATGATCTGCAAAATAAGAAATTATGTATGAAACTTGTCCAAATAAAAATATGTAGAAATGTCTCTGATAAACAATAATCAAATTTGGAATAACAAAAGCTTAATTATGTTCACATAAGCAAGTATTTGCATATGTAAATTAAGGTTTAAGTTTTTGTTATTCAAAATATTAACAATTATCAAGTCAATCTCTTCAAAAGTACTTTCAATTAAAGTACTTTCTTTAATATTCTATCCTCTTCACTAATTAATTACAATAATTAGATCAGAGTAGTTAATTTATTAGATTATTAATTTAGAAACATTATTTCTTTGATAAAAAAATGGTATCAAAAAGAATTATATACTCAGCAATCCAAATTTAATGTCTGAGTAATATAAATTATTGATAGAACTATCATCATGTTAACATAATATACAATGACTCACCTGACTATTGAATCATAACAATGGAATAGATCAATATGAGAGAGCTGGACAAACAATGTATAACAAATCATGATGAAGATCAAAATAGATAACTTTGCCCATAGTAATAATTTAAAAAATACAGCAACGGCTAACCCTGATAGAATGCCTCCAAGGGGTACATATATAGGGACTGGGCAAGACAAATGATCATTAACTGAATGTGCCTGAGATATTTCACATGAAGGATTGGGCAAACAAGTGAACTGAAAAATAAAATTAATTATATAATAAAAAATTATACATCAACTTTCCATATAGTAGAATGAAAGCAGGTAATAAAATCCTATTTAAACACACAAAGGATTAAGATCCAAAAAATAAGAAAAACATTCAATTTATTATTGTGATGATTACCAATCGCTAACATTATTTTAACATTTAATCAGGTATACAGACAAAGTATGTTTTTTTAACAATATAGATATAAACTGATTTCAATATAAAATCATAAATGAATAATCTACTCACCACATTCAAAATTGATACTGAGAAAACAAGTAAAACAGTAAAAATTGTCAACGCTAGTCTTAAAGTAAAACTTTTAGTAACATCCCAGAATATCCATTGTAACCTTGCTGCTAGTAATAACATCAGTAATGAAGTGACCCAGGCAAAGGCCGTTAAGAAAAGCAGTAGTAAAAATAAAGTTCTAGGTAGCATAAGGCCTTGGATTCCTGCACCACAAACAACCAATATCAAGCAACACCAAAGAGATGCAGCAAATTCTGGGTCACATTCATGACGATACTGGAAAGTTACCAATGAATAAGTATAATAATTCTTTCTTATTGAAACATATTTTACAAATAAGCATGTGTAATTTATTAAAAATTATAAATACCATGGCTTCATTCTGCTTATCTCGAAGACATAAAGTCAGATATCCTATCTGAGCATCGTTTTCTAAATCCAAGTATTGAGCTTCTATGGCTGTTGCTAGATTTCTATCAATGCGGTTGCTTGTATGCAGATTTCTTAGAACATTGCAAGATCTTTTCTTGAAAGGTCTTAGATTTGAAACACCAGTAACCTAAAAACATATATTCTAAATTAAATTTTATTCCAAAAAAAATAATTCCTGTTTTCTTCAAATAAAAATTCAATAATGGGAATGTGAAAATATGCAGAGTAAAAATTTTGAAAAAAATTATTTATGTTCATATTAAATCATCAAAATTTACTATCAAATAAATTAAATTACCAACATTTGAAATATTTTGTTTTAAGTTTTTTTCCATCTTTCTTATTAAGGCAACTTTTAAAAAAAATGTTGAAGCTCAAATTTTATTTCAGTGAGTTAAACCTATTTCATATTCCTTGTAATTATTCTCATTTAATTAGTCATAATTAAAATCTTGCAACGGTTTGAAATAATAGGATTATGTATCATTCAAAATCATGAATTATAAATACTTTAAAGAAATATATCTATAGGATTATCAGATCAGACTGATTAAAAATTAGTGTCCATAGCAGTATAATATTTTCAAGTTAGTATTAATTTCCAAAATTATTTTATGCTAACATACTTTAGAAGCTGAAGAATCAGCATCAACTCTTGGTGCATTAGCACTCTCATTTTCACCGATGAAAGCAAATGGAATTTCCGCTCCAAATTTTATGTTGTGCAGTAATTGATTTATACTCGCAACTTTTCTAATAGATAATTCGTGTTTTTGCAGCGTACCCAGTGGTGCATTCATTTCCAAAGTGCATAATGCGAGCGCCTATAATAAAAATTAGTAAATTAGAAAACAAGTTAGTAATGTATGGCGTTATGCCTTTAGCAAATTATTTGAACTTTATAGATGAACGAAAAAGTAATATTTTTTTAATCTTTAGAACTTCAAACAAAATATTCTGCACACCAGTAACTGCGTTAAATGATAATGTTGCAAATAGGGGATAATTGTTTATCAATGTCAAAGACACAAATGCTTTGAAATATCATTTGTCTCGCCACTAGGATAAACTTAAATTTTACCTAATTGTATTTGTATAAAATATTTTAAATTATTTATGATAGTAGTTAATTCAATCTTGAAGCATTTTGCTGCAACATACGGAAATAGTATGTTATATGTGTGCAGGAATAAGAACATTGTATTTATATATGTATATAAAACTAAAATATATGTATATAAAAAGATGTTATATGTATATTTGCATATACCAGACATATGCTGATTTATATAATCAACATATTAAGTGAAACAAAGTACCTTTGTATAGTTTTTTTAATAAATTAAAACAAACTCACTTTTCTTCTGCGTGGTGGTGGGACAATATAATATGTCCCTCCTGGAGCATCTGTTACGTCATACTCGCCCGTCAACGCATCAATGGTGGCTCTGGACACGTGAACTTTACCAGCGTCTCCTGACATTTGCAATCTTCTAGCCATGGATACATTTTTTGACCAAATATCAAATTGTCTCCTTTTTATTCCTGATACGTAACATGTCGCAGAACCGGAGTGAATTCCAACTCGAATACTCAACGGAGCATTTGTTTGACCAATCATTTGACTTCAAAATTTCAAGATTAAATAGCATTAAAAATTAAGTAACAAAAAAGATGATTACTTAATTAATGTAAACACTATTTGCACAGAAAATGCTTGCAGCGTGAAGTTATGAACACTTATGTAAACAGTATTCAAACTCGATTGTAATATTGACAATAAAAGATTTTCAGATATTTATTACACATTATTACATTTTGTGCGACATAATTTAAACAAAATTATGATAATTTTCTGTGATACCTATAGGTAATAAAATGAAAATAGCACCCATAAAGACGGAAACTAGATTTTGAAAATAATGCATTGTTGTTGTTAAAGTTGTTTACATACAACTTTTTCAATAAAATTTTTAATAAATTAAATTAATTTTAGTTACTAAATTACTTTCATTAGTAACCAATTTAATATTATTTCATATCAATTGTCATTAGTAAACAAAACTACTAAATAGATAAATATTCTAAATAGATAAGTATATTTAAACTTAAGCTAATAATGTGCTACTTATATATTCAGGGCCGGTCCTGCCTTGCATGCCTTAGGGGGCGCCAAAACGAGTTTTGGAATATAAATTTATAATATATTATTTATATTTTTTATCATTTATATAAAATCTAGAATACTTGATAAATTGTAATAAACAATCTAACTTAACTAGGGATACGGAGACACAAAAAGCATATTTATTTTGCAATGTGATATCAGTAGAAACAATTAACCGATTAATTAGTCTGCAAATTAGTAAATAACAGCTCTGTTTATTGCTTATTCTACTTATTCAATTTTTTCTTTGTTTGAAGTTACCGTGGAATCGAAAAAGAAATTATCTAGTGTTCAATCCCGTAAGCGCAAACCTGCGAAAGATTAAATTAATTATTGGGCATTATTGACGAAAAATTGCGAGCTGATTTAGTTGAAACGGAACGAAAAAATATGAACAAATTATAATCGGGAAAATGCAAAATGGGGTGTCAGTGCTTAGAAAATAGCATGTTTATTCCGAGAAATTGAATTGTAACTTTTGTTTTTGTTGTAAATGTTTCTCATCTGATGAACTTTGAATGTTGAAGACATGCGTGGTTAGGGTTATGGAAATGGAACAAATAATAAAAATGAAAGCAAAATTTACTTTGGAACGAAAATCTTAAGGTTTTTATTTTTTATACCTAGTGGTGTCTATACTCTAAATTTAATAAATATGAACTATGCAGAAATAATACATATCAAATATAATTAGTTTTCGAGTGTTATGTTTGAAAATAAAAAGCTAGTTTTTTTAGCTCTCTTGGCATGATTTGCTCAATAAATCGCATAATAAATCAGTACAATGTTTCAAAACCCAAATATTAATATTGCACGAAAATTCAAAAATATTGGATAATCAACCCGCGAATCGCCTCGATTTACTAAATAAATTTCAAATCATTGTATTTTATACGCTTTTAGATTATATCTAATTTTTGTGTACTAAATCCAGAATAATCAAAAATTAATTTAAAAAAAAAATTGTAAATATTTAAATAATGTCAATGATAAACTATTAAGTGTTAAGTTAAAATTAATAGGGGGAGGGGCGCTAGAAAAAAAGTTTTATGCGGGCGCTAAGTACCCCAGGACCGGCCCTGTATATATATATATATATATATATATATATATATATCAAAAAATTTTACTTTGTATATCAAAAAATTAAATGAAATTCAAATAAAGTATTAAAGAATGTGTAGTATATAAGTAACTGTTTTTGAAATTACACTGAAGATGAGACACACCATGGTCTCGAAACGTCTGTAATCATAAAATAAAGTTGTGTTAAACAAATCTGAGTGCTGTTTTGTTCATATTAAACAATTAATATTCGTTCCACTCATATCATAAAATTCTATAATATATATATATATATATATATATATATATATATATAATTTCCAATATGCTTACCAAATTGCTTCTATCAAATCAAGTCCAAGCTCTACACAGCAACGAGCATGGTCAGACCTCATTTCATTGATTCCAGAAACACAAAAATAGCAATCGCCTAATAACTTTATTCGTAAACAGTGGTTCTCCTATTCAAGCATTTAGAAAAATGTCCTTTCATTATTTTGTTATTTCGATATTGTACTATATAATTGCATATATAATCCAGTCATTTTAGCTTAAATTAGGTAATAATCTCGGAATTCGAATCTCAGAGATACCCAGTTGTATGTCTGTAAATACTTGTATATTGACACCCTAAAGTTGTCTCAAAACCTACATAACTTTAGGGTATCGATATACAAGTATTTACAGACTTACAGCTGGGTATCTCGAATTGCGAGATGAATTTACTATAATGACTGGACTATAGAAGAAAATGTATAAATATGCGAAATATGATTTAAGTAAACTATATATCAGTTTGATTGAATAATAAAAAGTTGAATTACTCACGTTTGATAAGTGATCAAATCTACCAAACAATTCATTCATTATGCGAACAAGTTCTAGTGGACCGCATTGTGCACTTAATTGGGTGAAACCAACAATATCGGCAAATAGAAAACTGAAATTATATAAACTATTATTATCATAATAATTATTTCAAAACACAAACTATAATTTAATGAAAACTTTATAAACACTTTCAACTTTCCAGCCTAAATTATATTCAATAAAGAACAAAAATTAGTTCAGTTTTTGTTATATATATAGTATCTATGCAAATTTTAAACCATTGTTGAAGCCATAGAGTAATCACAAATTTAAATTAAAAACGACCTTAGATCGTTTCTCATATTTTTGAGCGTAGTTAATTCCAAGACAGTCTGAAACGCTCTGGTTACTTTATAAAATTATAAAGAAACTAAATTTAAAAAGCCATTATATGATACGAAAATTTAAATACACATATTCGTGTTCAGCGTCCATTAACAATGAAGTCTTTCCTAAAATTCTACTTCCACCAAAATGTTTCTTAATAATCACAACCATTTTCAACTCAATTTTTCAATTTAACTTCTGAGCATCTGTTTGGAAGAATGCAAAAATCAAAATGATTCCAAAACCAAGCAAAGATTCATTTGACGTAAAATCTTATCAACCTATAAGTTTTCTTCCATCCCTATCGAAAGTATTAGAAAGACTTATTTTACAAAGACTATTAGACCATCCCAAAGAAACCTCGATACCTAACCACCAATTTGGTTTCAGAAGATATCATTCAACAATTCAGCAATGCAACAGAACAACCAACTCAATCGTCAAAATTAAAGAAAACATTTCCAAAATACTTCACAATTTTGGAATCATACTTATCTAACAGAACTTTTCAAATTAAAGAAAACGAAGAACTCTCCTCTCCAGAACCAATTCATTCCGGTGTTCCGCAAGGTAGTGCTCTCAGTCCAATATTATATCTGCTATTCACGAGTGATATGCCACTCGATCCGGCTGAGCACATATGCTGATGACATTGCCATTACCTCAAGTCATAAGGATGTGATAACAGCTACTTCTTTACTTCAAAATAATCTGGCAAAGACATAACTATGGCTAGATAAATGGAACATAAAAACTAACGTTCAGAAATCTCAACACCTCATCATTTCACTGAGAAGCCACACAAAACCTGCCTTGTATTTGAATAAGACAATTATACTAAACCAAGAATCCGTGGAATACCTAGAAATATATATAGATAGTAAACTAAATTGGAAAATGCATATTTCAATAAAAAAACAAATAGATTTGAAACTGAAGGAAATAAACTGGCTGAAATAGATGAACAAGTATAAACCACGTAAAGTAGAACCACATCGTAAATGAACAAGTATAAGCCATATAAAGTAGAACCACATGATCCATAAGGACTTAAAAATTCCCACAGTAGTGGAAGTTATCAAAAACAGAAGTTTAATCTTTCAAAACAAATTGGATGCAAACGTCAATCCGGAAATGCAAATAGTGCAGGCAGCCGAAAAATTAAAATGCCTGAAAAGAAAATGGCCCAGTGATATATCGTCAACAACATAATTTTCTCTGTTTTGCACAGGAAAATTTTTAAACAAGTTATTTATAATTATTATTTATTATTAACTTCCCGAAGGAGAAGTTTATGTTTTCATCAAAAAATCCGATTCGATAATTTTATGTTTTCTCGACGTTTCAAGCCATTCTTGTTGGGAATCGTGCTGATTAGTTTTTGGTAGAGATCGGCCGGGCCGTTTCCTTGTAATAAGGCGTTAAAAAATTTTTTTCGTCGATTTTTATTATTATTTTTAACGGTATGTACCATAGCCTTCTAGATCATACTAAAATATTACGGCCCTACGACAACTCGTTTAACTTTAAAAATTCATCAAAGTTTGCAAAAATTAGTATGGTCTTTTTGGAATTTGTCAAAATTAGAACTTTCATCGACGTTTGCTCAAAAACGCCTGAACCGATTTCAGAAATTTAAAAACCTTTTGATGTATCTCGATGAAGATTATCGTGTCTCAGTTTTGTGCTACGATCGACCGAGCCGTCTCTTTGTAATTTGGAAAAAAGTGTTAAACTTTTCGTCCACATTTAAGCTCATACTACCGAATCGATTTGAAAAAATCAAAAACTGCTCGAAAGATATTAGTTGGGAATGATACTGCAACCATGATTAGTTTTACGTGAAAATCTACGAGCCGTTTTTTTGTAATTAACTGTTGAAAAAAAAATCAAGCCGATTTTTATGAAACTTTTTTTGGTGATATATATCATGGTCTTATAGAACTTACTAATATTACGGCCTTACAACAAGTAGTTTAATTTTAAAAATTCATCAAAGTTTGAGAAAATGAGTAATTCTTTTGACATTTGTTAACTTCCCGAAGGGTAAGTTATTGTAATCGTCCAAAAATCGAAATAGAAAATTTTTGCATTTCTCGACGTTTTGAAGGTTTCTGAACATTTTGGCATACCTCAGAAAAAATGGATGTATGTGTGTGTTTTGTGTGTCCGCATTTTTTCGTTTAAGTTTTCGGGCGCACGGAGCAACCGATTTGAATGGTTCAAAAAAACATTCGATCCCTATTGATAGGGAGATGGGCTGATTAGTTTTTGGAAAAGGCAGGTCCAGCAGTTACGGAGATAAAGAGCAAAGAGTGCAGAAAATAGAAATCGAGTTTTTGAAAGAATGGAGCATCCGATTTGAATGATCTAAAAAATATTCAATTAGTAATGATTGGGCGAAGTGGTTATTAGTTTTTAGTAAAGGCAGGCCCAGCCATTTCGAAGATACAGGGCTAAATGTGCAAAAAATGACAGTTTCTGAGAGAACTAAGCGTACGATTTGAATGATTCAAAGAACCTTCTGCTTGTTTTAAGAAAATAATTGATTTTGAAATAAAAAGTTTGTTTCCAAATTTTTTTTAATTTTTCTTTTCAAAAAAATTTTTTGCATATCGAAAATAATTCAGATTTTATTTTTAATTCTGACTAAAGTTCTATTATACTTTAAACAAATAATTTCAACTTTGCAATTCAGTTTGTATAATTCTTATAAATATTTAACGATATTACAGAATTTATAATAATCTGTTTAAAAACAGATAATATTCCTCGAGCAATTTGCCTTAAACCACGGCGATTCCATGCGCCCCACTAGTTAAAATTAAAATTAAATGATTTACTTGGTATAACGATAGAGTACTTGGTCTTAATACTAAACAATTAAAATCCTACAAAAAAAACTGGCTCAATTATAAAAATTATTGATTTTTGACCGGGTTGACGTCTTTGATTTTCAATCATGTGTAATAAATCCACTTCGAATACTTTTAACTACTCATAAATTAATTTATATTTTATTGATTAAGTCGATTATTTACACAAATCGGGAAGTTCCTCAAGGCAAAATACCAATACCAACTAGTTGATTATTATTTACATTATTAAGGGACCCACCTAGTATGACAATCTAAAAAAGGTCATTTATGGAAATTAAAAGAACAAAAGAACTAGTGAATCCACCTATTTGAAATTTTGAAGCTATGTTTATACATGTTTTGAGAATATACAGTAATTTTTTAAATAAAATATTAAATATTTTTGAAATGACACGCAATCTTCGGCGGCGCCAAAAAAGAGGTCCTCCACTGCTGGAGTGATTGCAGCCTTCTCCGTTGATAAAACATAATAAAAAAAAATCTCGTTAAACTAGGACATATTGTCTGTACAATGACCCTCGGGCGAACAAAAAAAATCAAAAATTGATAAAATGGCGGCATGTGTGAAAAAAATATTAATTGCCTGCCAAAATTCGATTTTTGATCAGATCAAAAACTGGAGGGTCATCGTATGAAGAACTATATAGAGGAAACGCAAAAAAAATTGATAGCGATCGGATCATTTTTCTCAGAGTAATCACTCCAGCAAATTCGAAAAGTGCTGTTTCGAGAAAAACGCGTTTAAAGATAAAATTATCGTTATACTATATACTCTATATACTCTTTTAAATGGCTGTAACTCAAAAACTATTTGAGATATCGATTTAAAATTTTATTATGTTATTTTTAAAGATATTTTTAATATGGGAAATTCAAAATTCGATTTTTTGAAAATTTCGCACTAGTTGTGCCCCTTAATACTATTATTTTTATTATTATTTTTTCATTTATTTATTCTATATCTTTTCTTTAATTTTTTTATTTTATTTTTTTTTCTTGATTTTGATTTTCAAACTTATAGATTATATTGTAATCTTATTGTTAAAACTAGCAGATATAAAAAAATATAATAGAGCATATTCCTGGAAATACATAGCTTGAAAATATGAAGTTGCATTTTTTTTATTTTGAAGTTGGCACTCTTTTGTAATGTTATAACTTCAGTGCACAGATGCAATATTAATAATTACGCAGACAGTTATCAATTATAAAAGGGTTAAAAAATTTAAAAATAAGTTAGTTATCAGTTGTTAACTAATAATCGACAAAAAGTGGTATTTATTAAATAGATGTAAGTAAATAAATGCATAATTAACCAATCCGAATTTTGAAGAATTAACTGTTATATTCGCCAATCATTTCGATGCGTTTATAATTAATTTAATAAATGATGGTTATGTGTATTCCAAAAATTCATTTATTTTTAGGAACAGTATTCATCAAAAATGAATACTCAAGCCGAAGATTTCTTATTTCAAGAAGAATGTACAGACGGGGAAAACGTAAGATATTTTGAAGAAGGCGATTCGTACCGTTCGTATGTCAATCACGATCTACCATATATCGACGATTCAGATCATGAAAGTAATATTGAATTTAACCCTGAACAACAAGAAAATCGAAATGAGATAGAAACAAGAGATGCAGATCCTAATTATGAGAGGCCAAGTTTCAACTCTGATCTTCTCGATAAAGGTAACCCTCAACAGAGCAGTAGTAGCAAAACTGAAAATGCAATCAATTATGCAACTCAACTGGAGGTCGACGAGTATAATGTAAAAATAAACACACAATTAAAACACTTAATAAATCAAAAGACAAAATACGATTTCGAAATTCGCGATTTAAGAAAACGCTTGAAACAATCAGAGGAGAGATACACACGCCAGATTAAAGATTTGACCGAACTGCAATTATTATATGAACAATGCAAAAAAGATTTCAAACTAGAAAAAGATGAAAGATGCATAACAGCTACCGATTGGGAAAATCTGAAGATAAATACAAATTTCGTAGAACAAAGATTGACAAATATTGAAAATTTGTGGCCTGAAATGCAAAATTATCTTCGCAAACAAGTGATAGATAAACAGAATCTACAGAAAAATATTGATATTCTGAATCAACAATTATATGCAATAAACATTCATCAGAAAAATGATTTGTGTTCATATAAGAAATCCCTGGAAGAGATGAAAAAAAAGGAGATAATGTTGTCAGAAAATGTTGACAGTCTAAATGCTGAACTGACAAAAAGCGCAGACCACAATTCTGTTATGCAAAAACAAATCAATGAACTTGAGCAGCAACATGCAGAATCTATGAATAAAATTACAAATTATAAATCAGATATAACTGAACTCACAAATAAAATTAATATCTTACAGCAGGACTATGAAAATATTCTAGAAAAATACAAGCAAGAATCGGCGTCTTCTGCAACTACTAAAATCGAAAATGAAACAATCATAGATAGCATGAATAAGTTATTAACAAACACAGAAGCATTGAAAGAAGAAAATATGAAACTGAAATCAGACCTCACAGTTTTTGAACAACTTAATCAGGAATATAAACAAAAATCTGACAATGATTTGAGAGCCATAAAAGATCTTGCTAATCATCTTGATTTGTGTAAAGCCGAATGTCAACAAAAAATAAAAGCTGAACAAGCATTTGCTGAAAAACAAAATTTGGAGCTACAACAACATATCAAGGATTTAACAGAAAAATATAACTCATATAAAACTAATAAAGAACAAGAGATTGCTGAGAAAAATATGAAGTTATCCGAGTATGATACTTTAGTAAATGAACTAAATCGAAACTTGAGTAACACTTCACAAAGATTAGAATCAAAATCATCTGAGAACATGAAACTTTTGCAAGAGTTAATGCAGAATAAAATAACAATAAAATCACTAACAGATGCAAAAGAAGTTTTATTGGACCAGCTGCAAGGAAAAAACAAGCATATCGAAATGCTCAGAACAGCTCAAAGTTTGAAGAGCAATAAAACAGCTTTTGTGGCTCCTGCCAAAAATGAATCTTCTACTAAAATTTCAACTAACTATGACAGCGACAGCAGTGCTGATAAAAGAATTTTGGAAGATTATTATGATGAGAATAATGTCAAGAGAAAAAGAATTATTCTAAAAAGAGATATGCGTCGACTGCAATCTATGACACAATCTTCTGATCAACCAACACAAAAACTAAAGCGTAGATTGAGCAGTAATGAAAAAGAGCAAAAAGAAGATGCTTAAGAGAAACTATATATATATATATATATATATATATATATATATATATATAATACTTCATTCCACCAATTTCATGGAATATTAAATACATTGGATTTTAAATGTGTTTTTCTTAACAATATATATAAAATTAGAATTTTCATATATTAGGTGTATAATTAGATAAATAAAAATTCTTTGAAGAAAATTGCAAAATATAAAATTATTTGATAAAATAATTCATTATCATAAAGTTCAACAATATATATTAAGTGCTATCTATATACCATGGGCATAGCCAGGAAATGATCAAAATAAGAATTAACATAAGTATTACAATTATTATGACTAACTTATTTGTTTTATATTTGAATAATTAATTATCATAACAATCATGAAGCCAATTTAATAATGCTTTTGTTCTCTTACTATGTATATTACTTTGTATTTGACAAAAAGAAATACCTGCCTCTAACTAAGCTCATGATATAAAAATAAATTGATGGTGCGCATTCAACTTAGTTTATGTATAATTTATATAATACCTTAATTTCTCATGATATTGTAGATAAGATTTATGTGTAGGTGTATCTCTGAATGCATGGGTAAGATCAAATTTCATTTCACCAGCAACATGCTGGGGTAAAAGTGATAATAAAATTCTGTCCAATCTCTCATTTTCGTCATCATAATCCAGTTTGGCAGAAATTAATTTTCTTGTGTCAAGAAAAGCTTTTCTGTGATTCTGTTCTGTAAATCTATGCAAAATAATTCCACAAGCATTGACTGCTACAAAAATGAGTAAATTTGCACCAACCTAGAATATAGGCAAAGAATTTAGGTAAACCTTATATTTTCTAATTGGATTAGATAATTAAATTTTAATATAAATATAAAATTTCAAGTATAGTAATTTTAACTCTAAATTTAGGTAAATTTGAAACTAATGTTAAACAGAATGTAAAGAGAGGCCAATTAGTTATGGAACTCACTTGATACCAGTAAGTATCCAAGTAATGCTTTGTTGTAATAAAACTGACTCCAACTTGAATAATTGTTAAACATATTCCAAAAAGGCTAGCATGCCAAGCATACAATGGCATCATAGTGTAAGCAATAAATGAAATAAAAGACACTAGCCAAACGCCTTCTGAACTAACTCCATGAGATTCAGCAGGTAATGTAAATTGCATCAAATCAGCTGCCATTGTCGTCACAGTTAAGGTCGTACAAAATAATAAAATGGTATAACAGACCTAAAAAAAATAATTTTAATGTCATCTTTGGGTTATAAGGGCAAGTATCATTATTGAATTAAAATCAGAAGCAGATATAAATTAAAGATGAAAGTGATTTCCTCAATTCCCTGATCAAATAATAACATATTCCAAAAAAATATAGTAAAAAAACCATAAATAGTTTTAAATAACAAAAGGAACTTAAAATTGTTTCAATGATTATTTGAACCAAAAAAAAAACTGTTATTCTACTGATATTTATCCAAGTCCAATAAACCCAAAGCTGGTGCTTTTTTTTTTAATGAATTAAACAGATTTTTTTTTAATTGGCATTGAGAACTGTCTTTATGTTTACTTTTGATGCATAATATTTCTATATCAGTTGCATGTAAATTTATAATTAGCAATACATACTGCTATTAGTTGCCATTTCTGAGCCATTTTCATCTGTAGAAGCACAAGCATAACTGCAAATATTAAACTATGCATAGCCCCAGAAACATTTTGAAGTGTTGCACGTCGTGCATAACCAGCACTAAATGCTGCCTGAATTCCTGATAGAAGAGCTAATAAAACTAATGAGCAACTAACAGGCACACGGTATAAATAGCTCATATATCTTTGAAACAATTGTTCAAGCTGTGCACTTTCAAAACTTTGGGAGCCTGCAAACAAATTTGCAATGAAATACATTAGATAGAGATACAGATAGGTTACTCAGAAGTAAAGGATTACTTTAAACATTTTAAACTATTTTTGCAATACAGGAATATTGATACACAATATTTTTGAGTAAATTTGCGACATTTTGTAAAATCGCTAATTTTATAAAACATCTATAAGTATTTCATTTTATGACTATGTATTTAACAGACAATATTATGATGTTAACTATATAAGCATCTGATTGACTTGAATATTCAAAATAAAAATTCGATTAATTAATTTTTCAAGTAATTTCTTATCATTAATTCTGGACATCTCCTACAATACGATATTATATGTAAAAATATGTACTACTTTACTGTTTAATTTGTCACAAATTCCCACATATGGGATATTATTGAAATTATAGGTGCTAATTATAAACACTTTGTTAATTTGACAGTTGAAGTAATAATTTATAATTAACTAATTTTGATATAAAATATTTCTGCATTTGGAGAAACAAATAAGAATCCCCAAAATTTAGTAAAATTTATAACTGAAGTTTTGATTACTAATACAATGCATATTACCAGGCAGGTGCCAATTCCTGGCTCCAGATTCAGCTGCCTGCACACAGTGATCCATTTTGCCTCACCGAGGCAACTTGGTGTTGACTATTCCATAAAACACATTGCTGAATGAACTAAAAAGAATTATTATGATACAATTGAATTAATATTTATACAAAATAATAGGTAAAAGAGTAATTTAATTATTGTTTGCTATTCTGACACAAACTTTACAATATTTATACAATTAATGTTTTATTCTGAAAATGTTTGATTTGTTTATTCACATTGGATTACGGACTAGATTTGGACTAAAATGTAATACATTAAGGTTCTTAATATTAAATATTTATTACATTCAAGCTATTTAATCTTTTTTGATTTTACCATTATTATTATTGAGGTTAAATTTGATAAAATTTTAAAAGTAACAAAAGCTGATTATGAATTAAACTAAAGATTACCTCAAATGATCAGCATTACTTTAATTTTATTCAGAAAGAATTCATTAGTACTGTTTATGGTCATTTCTGTTTTATTTTAAAAATATATTGGTATATATAAACAAGACTTTGACAGCTGTGACCAAGCTCAGAAACTGTTGAAACAAATGTCATTAGATGGCGACAGCAATTTTCAGATAAATTTGTAATTGAGCATAAAACGAACTTTGAATACAAAGTTTTGACTCCTGGATATATTATTTAAAAAAAATTCAAAAAAGTAATAATAATTATCATAAATAGTTATAATAATAATAAATAAAACAATGCAGAATCGTGTTTAGTTATGTAATACTTTTTAAAACGATACAAACAAATTAAGTAGGTACAAAAGATTGTTACTAATATTCAAAATTATCAGTGTTGAAATTCACAAAGTACCTACAAATAATGATGTAAAATATGTATGAACATACACTATAATACAAAAATGTTTTGACATTAAATTTTCCCGTGTACTATTTATTTTTAAGAACTTAAAAATGTTTTGTTTGCACTGGGGTTGATATCACAGAGTTATATTATCGGTAAGCAGTTTAATAATGGCAAAATTTATAAAAGTAGTTTTATGAGATAATTATTGCATACTTGCTATTTTGTGATCTGATTGATAATGCTCTTTTATTTATGATTACACAAAGAGTTACTTAATTATACAGGAGTTTGTGTGTGACTAGTACCAACAGGCTGGCTCTACAAAAATTAGTTTCATATTACTACAAGATCAAATACAAAAAGTATTTAATCTGAAAGGTTCAATATAAGCTATCATTTAACCTAGTGACATGATTCAGTTATACGTATAGATCATAAAATCAGACAATTATCCTTATTGAATTTAAACTGAAACTAAATATACCAATGCATAACTATAATGAAATTATTTTATGCCACAGCAAACACTTTAAGAATGTTCAAAATAGTAAGACAATTGCCCGATCGCCAAAAACTGAAAACTCATCGCAATAACATTATAATTAAAAATTACATAATTAATACAGTTTGCACAGAAGATAGCTATACATATACAATAGCTATTAATACTACATAATAACTAGCTAATATCTTGGGAAGCTATTGGCATATTAACTTATAGATATAGCTACACATACTTTCATGATAAATAATTATTTTTATTACTATTGTTCACTATTACTGACCTATAAAAATATGATATTTGTCTCTATTCTCATAATTATTACAAATATAATCATCGTGTATATAGGCTGCTTTTTATGTACTTTATTTTTTGGTATGAAAATGTTATTTGTTAATGCACAGAAATGGAGAAAACATTTAATGGGTTAATATATACACTTATAATATTGGTAATAGATCAAATAAAATGATGAATAATCGCCATATTTTCATAATGATTTCATTTAATTTCATTACACATGCTTAATATCTTTGCCAAATCATAAAATTGAGATACATGAAATTTAAAAGAATACTTTCTCAAATTGTAATTCTGCAGTATCTTTTTTGTGATATATATATATATATATATATATATATATATACATAGACATGTGCACTACTTTAATTCTCATAGCATTTAACATAATTAACTTTAAATTATTTATAAAGTTGGCTTGACTGCACTTATAACATAAACATTTAGAAAAATTTGTGCAACAAAACTGAAGGCGCTTGGGTGTATAGTTTAAGCTATATTCTTCAATGTCACTATACAAGCGTTTGCACTGTTTTCAACAGATGCATATTTTATCATCTGCTATTTAAAGAGAAAAGTAAATACAATGCTGAAAAAATAATGCTAAAAACAATTCATTGGTGTTTTAGAGCAGCCTACAATAAAACTAATATACAAACAATGATATTTCGGGTGAGAACTAAAAAAATCTTCTAGCAAAGTAAGTTTGTTGTACTCCTGAATATACTATAGTAATATAAATATCATTGCAGCATTTAGAAATAAAAGTTGTTCATATTTTATAGCATACTATTAATAAAATATGTTTTAATTAAATTTGTAATCTCTTGTTTTATGTACTACCTTACAAAGTATACATGCAATGCACTTTATACTACTTTTAGATTTTCATTTTACAATATAACTTATATCTATTTATAAGTATTCTTATATTCCTACATCATATATGCATATTCATGTATCATATAAATGTATATTCATACATTTATATGATAATCCTTATGAAGGTGAAACGAAGCTAAAAGGCAATATTGTATCATAAATTTTGTATGAGATCCAAATTTAAAATAATAAGTAGATTATTATCTGCTATTGTCAATGTTTAATGAAATAAATATACATTGATAAAAATGGATATTTGTAAAATTTAATCTCATACTTGAAAGTCTTATAATCACTGCATTTCAACTTCATGAAAGATACAAAAATGAATATGAAATGTTTACTTCAGACTTTCAACATTGACTAGAAATGTATTCCTTATAATAAATCGTGCAAAATGAAGATTAATGCTGTAAGATCTACATTTTCTATAAATAATAAATAATACTGAGTATAAAAAATATGGCACAAACTAATTGCTCATTAATATATTTATTCATGGAGTGATTATAAGACTTTTCAATAGCACATTACTATTTGGCTTGATAAATGATTTTGCGATAAAAGTGAAATAAAATTGGACAAACATGAATTACCATATAAAATTAACTAATTTCAGCTTATTTACAAGTTTCGTTAATGTTCATCATAAATAATTTTGCTAAGTGATTCAATCAAACAAGAATAATAACATACTTCACTTTAATAAAAGAAAATGAGTAACCATAAACTGATTCTAAAATGTGAAGTAGTGAAAAACTCTTCTTTGAATAAATTATCCAGTCATTTAAACATCGATTGCAAAAAGCCAAGTATAAAGGAAAATTAGCGATCAACCTTAACTTATGGCAATGTTTTCTTAAAAGGTTATTACTTTACATAAGCTTTGGTTGCAGTGCAGGCAACTTGTAATTAGCAAACTGATATAAGGAGTTGACAGGACTATCCGGCCACTACCGCCACCGCCCATTTGAAAACCTGATGAGCGACCTCGCTTTCTTCGTGGCAATATGCCTTTCCTTGCCATGAAAAATCTAGAATTATAATACAAAATCGTGAAGTCTTAAATTAAAAATAATTTACAAATACAAGTGATTTTCTTGAAGTGATGATAAATTAAGTCAGCAATATATTGAACAATTCAAATTGAATAAATTTACTTTTACTTATAGTGGTTAACAAAAATCCAAAAGTAAAATTTGGTTATTCATTATTTCATTAAAATGATTTTGTATTTTTTTTATGTCTATTAATCGCAGATATAATATTGTGTAGCAATTTGTATTTACATGAGAATTTTCATTTATTAAACATGTATGTACATACCTGATTGTCGATATAGGTATACTAAACATATCAGAGACATGCTGAAACGTTTGTCCTCTTGAAACACAATCTGCTGCTTGTTTAAGTAAAGCTTCGGAGCGTCGTATGCGGGCGGGGAGTGTTGTTATCACCTCCAACCATGCAATCTTGTCATTCGAATAAGAATAAAGTAAAAATTAATTATTTAACGAACATAAATTTTATATCTGAAACAGTTCAAACAGTTCCGGTCTATTTTTTTTATAAATAAATTCTGTTAAATAATAAAAACAAAAAATAAAACGTGACTTATGACTACAACGGGAATAAAAACTTAAAAAAATAAAAAAGAGCGAATAGTATTACCTGTTATATTGTTAAAACTGTTTTCGAATTTGATGTTAGAGCGATTTGCAATTGATATATCAAAATTGTCTTGATATTCACAACTCACATTAGCCATTGCAAAGTCTGAAATAAAAAGTTTTATAAAGTAATAAAAATCAAAAAATTAAATAATAATAATTAAAATTTAAAATAATTTAAATGAAACAATGATTTATATATAATAGTATATTTAATTTACTTATATTTATTAAATACAATGACTAAATTTTTTTTTGACTAGTATCGGGTACAAAATATAGGTACTAAATATAATTGCACTCAAAAATATATATAATATTTAAATCTTTGGTTTGTTAGCACTACTTTAGAAAGTAGGCAAAGAATCTTAGAATAAACTTTCCCCAAATAAAGGATTTCATATTTCATACACAATTACATTAATCGAATTAAAAATATATCTTAATTCAAAAATAGTATAAAATCTAAACATGAATAATTCGAGACTAGATTGTTATTAAGTAGCTATAATAAATTTAAGCCTGCTTTTTAATTTCATATTATCTACAAATTGTTTGAGTTGCCTGGGCATGGGATAGCTGCTCTTGATGTCCCAGCGCTTCATCCAATTTCGTAAAGTCTTTCGCGGCACATTGTAAACTTGCGAAGCCCTAGATTGAAGTGAAAAATTAATATAGAAACTACATAGTTCTAGAAGGAATCGCAAATAAGCAAATAATAAACGTAAACTATACTTTTGCATGCAACACGAATAAAATGAATTCCAAAATGAATAAAATAGGAACTATTAGGATAAATAACATTATGCGTACTAAAATTCACGTGTGTGAATACACACAACATTATAATAGGTTAATTCGGGCGCAACACCAAGTAAAACAAAGATGTGACTAAACTTTACAAATTTATTTATTACGAATTCATACTTTTCTGTCTATTAATGTCAAGACTGACTCAGTGCAATAAATAAAACATACACTCACATTAATTAACAATATACTACTAATTACACTAATGGTTAAACAGACTAATAATTGAAAAAATGAATCAAATGATATTAAAAACTATGTGTGAACTTTTGTGGTCAAAAGACTGCACACATAGTTTTTAAAATCATTTGATTCAAAGTTTCAATTATATATTGATAATTAAAACAAGGGTATAATCTATTTTTTATTACTCTAAATGACGATTTCTGCGCACACTGAAACGTATGGATTTAAAAAAAATTGTCTTTATCTAGTTGCATCAGGATTTTACTGGGTAATCAATTAACTATATACATTAAATGTAAATGAACGTCACATAAATAAAACATAAAGGAGTCTAATATTTTCTTAGCAAAGCATTACCAATTTATTAAAGTTTCCTCAATGCAATACTTTAATGATCATTGCATATATTTAAGACTCATTGTAATTATTTGTACAAAAACCTATATATTGTTAATTTATATTCAAAGATATGTTTAAGAATATTAAATAAAGGTCAAAGGTTTTTGAGTACCTCTATTGTACCAAACGTACCAAACATTTCCAATATAATTCGTCACCAATGTAAGAAGAAAAAATATATGACAAAAAAAAAAAACTTACGCTAAATTCCAGTGTATATAAAATACGTAATTTAAAAAAAATCATGTATATACTTATTTTATTTTAAGAATAAAATGAAGGAAAATATTCGTAGGTAGGTGTTGCACTTGTGTGACATCCTATCATTTAATGCAGAGCCAAAAAACGGATAAATATTTAATACACAAATGTGGACAAGTCGAAATTATTGTTGGTATTTCAAAATGATACGATTCAAATATTATGATAAAATGCTACATCAATACTTAAGTGCAACAAAGATTCTAAAAAATCGTATTATATATATATATATATTATATATATATATATACCGTGAAGGCTTGAAACAACTTCATCGATGAACTATACAAGTAGTATAAAAAATCTATTATCAGTTGCAAAAAATTTAAGTATGGTTACGGTTGCGTTAGTTACATCAATTACATGCAAAATTCCAATAATTAATCTAAACAATTGCTAGGTTAGTAATATTAAACATGCATTGCATATAACTACTGTAATACAACACGGAAATGAGGTATTAAATATAATAAGTCCTTCACCTATAGATACTAGAACCTCCCTTTATATCCATCAAGGCATTCCATAACGATTCATTATCGTAAGCCCGAAACGATCCTGTACGTCCTGGTCTTATAACACCGCGCATCAATTCATTCTTTAAATTTAAATCGCAAATATCTACATTTCTAACCGAATCCTTTGAAGAATCATTTTCTTCGTCATTTTTTTTA